GCTTTCATGCTGTGCTATCACTAAGTATTTATCTAAAACTAGTGTGCACATTGCTTTTACTTTGATTTCCAAGTACAGGCAGTCCTTGTTTAATGACCACTCGTTCAGTGACTGCTTGAACTTACGATGGCACTGAACAAGTGGTAGTTATGACTGGTCCTCGTACTTGTGGCTGTTGCAGTGTCCCTGCAGTCACGTGATTGCGATCTGGGCACAGAGTGCCCAGTTCGCAATTACAACATTGCAGCATCCCACAGTCACATGATCACAATTTGCAACCTTCCCTGCTGGCTTCCAACAAGCAAAGTCAATAGGGAAGCCAGCAGGAAGTCACAAGTCGTGGTCATGTGAGGTCCTCACTTAACAACAGCAACCAGGACTTGGTTTTTCAACTTATGACCACATTGCTAATGATGGAGTTTCCAGTCCCAGTTAGCATTATTAAGCGAGGACTACCTGTATCCAGTGCTAGATATTGTGAAGTTAGCAGTTATCGTGCATTCTGTAAATCTCAAGGCAGTCTGCTGGCACTAAATAAGAAATGCACAAAATAGCAATATTGGCTAAGGAGGGAGAATAGAGGCAGGAAGAGGCTTAAATGGTCAAGGAAATCTGAGAGAATGTAGCTCAAGAAAGATAGGCGGAGGGCATTGTTTTCCAAGCTCGCTCGATTGGCCACGTTTTTATGCATATTCACCTTTGCCTATTTCTAAATGAACTTTGGCTATCACTTTGTATTGTAGATACCCCGGTGGCTTCCTGCAACTTACAGCTGCTCAGCTTCATAAAAAAGATCCAACAGCAGTAAGTGCTAGCTTTTTCTCCATCTGTGTCTCTAAATGATTTGCTGACCTTCCCTGCATAAAGTCCTGTCAGTTTTCCAAGAACGTTCTGTAAGGAATATGCCTGTCCATTTCTAACCCATGTCTTTGTCTTCTTCCGTAAACAACTCTATTCCTGCCATTGACAGTCTTCCCATCTAATCACTAAGTCCCACGTCTGTCGATGCATAGTACTGCTGCTGAAGTTTTGAATGGCCACATTGGTTATGTTGTTAAAATTACTCTAGTTAAAAATACAGGATTGCAAAAAATCTTGTAGCATGATGCTGGGATGTCTGTGCATTATAACATCTGGAACATGTGTCCCTTTTCTCCCTTTCCACTTGTTCCTATAACTTTTTTTTTATTTCCCGAGCTCCCACTCTGGCTTTGCATCATGCTTACCGTCAATTTCATTTACAATTTTCGTTTTATGGCTGCCTGTCTCTTCAAGCAACCTTCTGTCTGACCTCCCTGAAAGCCTTTCTCTTTCTCTTCTCAGTTCTGATCTTTGTGCCTTCCTTCATGTTGCCTGATACTCCTGAACAGCTTCTTCATTGCTTTTGAGCTGTTTTCCATTTTGTCATGATCAGCTTTATCTGAACCATCCTGGTTGTGGTCCAAAAATTCCTCCAATGCTCTCTGATGCTTTTCTGTTCAGTGATAAAACAAGTGGCTTTGATTCTTGACCTGTGTTCTGGTGCTTGTCGTTCAGCTGAGCACACTTGGAAAAGAGCAGCAGAACCACCAAAAGGATTGTTTACGCATTTGGTATTTATGGCAGGAACAAAAGATATAGATATAAAATCATGACATGACCTGCTTATGTGAGATTCATTACCTAAAGTTTCACTGGCTAATATTTTATAGTATATTTGCTTTGTGGCATATTTGAAATTACTTAGTTAATGTAGATAATGAGCTTCATTAATCAGAGTTTTAAAAAGTTAAAGTATCTTTTGATTGGATTCCTTTTCACCTAATGGACACTTCATGGTGTTTCTTTGACAGCAGTTTAGAAATTATTCACCCTAACCTTTTTCCAGGATTTGTTCAGACTGTATCTGTCTTACAGCCTGAATATGTTTAGGTGGTCACCATCTAAATACCAGCCAGGTTTGACCATCCTTAGTTTTAAAGATCACCAGGATCAACCAGATGCTACTAACTATCTGGGCTTGACCAGAGTATATTGATCTAAGTAAGTTAACTTTAAGACTAGTACGTATGCCTCCTACACTATGATACAGATCTGATTACTTTTGGAAGTAGGTTATTACTGGCATTGTAGGTGAAATTTGAAAAAGGCAGTTTGATTTTTATTAACTTCAAAAGATGTGTTATAAAGCCGTATTTCTGTCTTTTCTAGCCAACTACTCTCTTGATATTTTGGTCTTATTATCTAGTTATTAAATGATTGGGTTGACCATCATGCAGTTATGTTGAACATTCCATAATGATGGCTTGTAGAAATAAATTAAAACTTGACTTTTTTGATAATGTAGTCCCACAATTGGTTTTCACTTTTGCAGGTAGTCCTCACTTAGTGACCACAGTTAAGGCCGCCAACTCCATTGCTAAGTGACATGGTCACTAAACAAAACTTCATGTGATGTGACAGATTTAACAATGTCATTTCCCATTCGGTCATTAAGTGAGTCATTACGGGTCATTAGACAAGACATCATGTGACCACAACTTGCGATTTTATTGCCGGCTTCTCCATCGACTCTGCTTGTCAGAAGCTGGTTTGCGAAGCACACAGTGATCAAATGACTGCAGGATGCTGTGACCATTGTGAACACTTGTTGGTTGTGAAGTGCCCAAATGTCGATCACGTGACTACAGAGATGCTGTGATGGTTATAAATGCAAGGACTGGTTGTAAAGTTACTTTTTCAGCACCGTTGTAACTTCAAACGGTTGCTAAACAGGGGAGTCATTAAGCAAGGTCTACCTGTATTTTGTATTTTCCTGAATATAATGGTTGCTGAACACCAGAGGGCAGTATAAACCAATATGACTTTAATCTTGCTGATATTCATTTAATTGGTAAGCTCCTATAAACCAAATTTTACTGTGAACAAAATAGTATGAAACATTATAAGCAGTGAATTCAGAGTGAACACTTCATTGAGCAAGATTAATATATTTTAGCTGGAACCTGATGGTGATGGAGTGGTATTTTACTTAGTTCATATTTGGATGAAATATACAATTTCTCAAGTCAGTAGCTGAACTAGAGAATAGTGTTTACTCTGTTTGTAATTTTGCAAAATGGTTCTTAAAACAGAAAATATGCATACGCATAGAATGAGGAATGCAAAATAAAATGTAAATATGGTGGAAGTGGAAAGCGTACAGAGAATCTGCTAGCAAAAATAAGTATATTAATCAAATATGAACAAAAATGAGAGAAATGTGCAGTAATGTTGACTTTTAAATTTTGCTGTTTTACGTGCATAAACATATAATTCACAATCAGAATAAATTTGTTTTGGTGTTTAAATGAATATATGACAAAATGAAAGCATTTATTATCCAGCCATTGGCTGTCTCTGGGGAATGTGTGGGGCAAGGCATAGGCTGGGGATTGGGTACCACCCTTCCTGCTGATGTGTCTGCAGCTCAGGAGTTTACAGCAGCCATGGCAGTAATGGGCCTATCCCGGGTGGTGAAAGGGCCAACACATAATGCAGGTCACACACTTGAGGTGAGAGATGAAGCACCTCAGTTTCTCTGAAGCATCTGTCCAAACTTGCTTGAGTTGATTATATTGCCACTGTTGTGAATTAGGCAAGCAGACTTTTAAGTCGAAGTAAATCCTTAAAATAATCATTACAGAGTAATTGATTTAAAATTGTTCCAAATTCCACCCATACTTCCAACAGAACATCTTGCAACCTATTTTTAAGGTTGAATTCATCTGTAAAATTAAATATTCATGAGCCTTGCATCAAAATCCAATCTACAGCCCAAAAGAGCCCAGACTTGTCTAGCTGCTCTCAATCCAGGAAATGAACGGCCTTTTTATTATATATCAACCCAAGTAAATGACAAGACACAATAGCTTTCTAACGAGGCTCACAATAGATTGTGTACTAAATTGTAATTCCAGATAAATGTGGATGATAAGATAGAAGCCCAATTATGTTTTTGAAAATCTGATGAATTATATCAACCATCACCAAAAGATAATCTGAATTTAGCCAATGAAATTCTTGGTGGCCTGTTTTTCCATATGAATTTCCTTAATACTTTGTTTGCCTGAAGGAAAGATCAGTTCAGAATAAGCATTGGAATATCTGTTAAAACATAACTCAATTGAGGAGCAATTTTTATTTTAATAATATTAATCTTGTTCCACCAACTTAATAGAATTTTAACCAGTCTATTAATGTCCAAGGCAAACTTTTAAAAAACTTTTAACAGACTTATTTTCATGAATTTGGAAATATATTTAGGAATATATTGTTTTAGATACTTAATGTGTTCTGTAGAAATGATGAAATATTCTAAGGAAGAAATGTAAGTTGAGTTAAGCAATCATAAATTAATTTTATATATACTACTTTAAAGTAAATACTTTTCACATATATTACTACTGAAGGACTTTCCCTCTATCTCATATGTATGTACTGTAAAGGTATAAACATATAAACATTTTTTTCTCACTTCCCTATATGTAGTCAGATTGGAGTCAAACTTTCTGCTCATGTAATTCTTCCTACTTGTCTTGCCACTCATAGAAGTGGATATCCAAACAAGGGAATGTCAATGTGTTTCAACACATTTTTTCCCCTTGGTCTTGGAAATTGAAGCTGTTAATTAAATTCTTGTAAAAGTCCTTAATTTTGAATTGGATCACAGACGTCACAAATTCTTTTACTTAAGCTGTAATTTAAGGAACAGTTTGTTGGTTCATAATACTTAGAAGATTATGTGTAAATATTTTTAATCTATGAATGCTGAGTTAATAACCGCATTAACATCATTTTCTCTAGTTATATGGCCCTTTCATATGAGGGAATTCATAAATATGTTGGAATTAAGTTACTTGCAAATTAGGAATGTACAGGATGAAAGAAAAGCTGCTGAGACACATTGTTTTTTTGCTGCCTTTGGGAAGAGATTAATGTGAATGGAAAATCAACAGGAACAGTACATTTTATTGTCGTCTCAGTGTTTATCTGCTGTTTTGGAGGCAAAGGAGATTAATGCTAGGCCATGCAGCACTTTGGGTTCAATTCCAAAAGAGGCGCTTCTGAGCGTATGAGAATGTGAACATGGCATCTCTTTGCACCTCTTTAAAGCAGCTGCATCTTTTCCTGGGATTGTGTGGCTGTCTTCCTCAACTTCACTGCTATCCCAGGAAGAGATCATGGTGCTTTAAAGAAGGGCAGACATGTGCTAAGTTCCTCCATGCATTCCAAAGCACCTTTTCAAAATCAAATATAAAGTGCTCCATTTATATGAATCATTTCCTCTCAGTTTCTTTGTTTTCAGTTTCCCCTTCTTTGTAAAGAGGAATGCTTTCATACATGTGTGTCATTAGCCTGTTTCAGAATCTTTGGCTAATTTAAATTCACCCAAGGGCAGCTGCCACCAAATTTCCATTGGGCTGATGAGAAATTACAGATAGTGCTACTCAATGTCATGGTGGCTTGAAATGACTTTGGGCCTCATTTGCTTGTTTCAATCATCAGTAATTCAGCATCATAAATATTGGGTCTTGTAAATTATTAAATTAGGCCATGGGCTTACCATGAAGAGATCTGGTGACAATTCAGTATGAAATCTTCTCTTATATTTATAAGTCAATATCTTTCTCTTTTATCCCCAGGGGTTTTTCATTTGCTGGTGGTGATTATTATATTCTCCCATTTGTTTATGGCTTTCAAGTGTTCAAACTGGTTCATGTCTATTGTCTGTTTGTAATCCTTAGAACAGCATCTGAGTTAGCGTTATCTGCCTCTAATGCAGT